AATCTGCTCTAATGCCATCCATTTCCCTGCAAATTCTATGATTTTGTCATTTCTTAGTGCTGCATAATACTCCATTGTGTATAGCTGCCACATTAAGGCAGAAAGCCTTCAGAAATTTAGAATCTACTTGTTCCCTTCACTCAGTCCAGAGCTCTCTCTTTCTGAAGCCTGATTTCTTTTATGTACCTCTACCTTGTACTTTAATTGCTCTTCAAGCCACTACTTTTCCAACATTTTGTTTAGGGGAACTTAAATACCTCTGTATGTCCACTCTGGCCATTTCACATCAGTTGGTTTCTCTCTTCCTTTCAGTAAGTTATTTTAACCTTTTGTTACTTTTGAATTTCTACTCCCGGGAAAATTCCACATTGTCTTTGAATATATCTGTTCTCTTCTTCAAGTATTTTCATAAACTCAAATCCATCAAAATAACTGACCTTTATGCCACCTTCATGTTTCCCTTCTTTCATTTATAAGTTACATTTTTTTGTTATCGTCTTGAAATCTCTAACCAGTTCTTCAATTCTTTATCCTCTCTCCATTCTTCTCAATGTGCAACTTAGCCTTTTAGAATATTTTGTATCCTCTACTCTTAAAATTAATCTGCTGTGGGCTGGGGCTGTAGCTCAGTGGTGGAGCACCTGCCTTGCACTTGTTAGGCACTGGATTGGATCCTCAGCACCACATAAAAATAAATATATTGTGTCCACCCACAACTAAAAAAATATATTTTTTTAAATGAATCTGCTGCAACTGAACTAACCTTTCTTCAACCTTGGCATTTTTATTGTTACGTCTAAAGCACTGCTAATCTGAGATTGCATTTTAAAACTTCTTCAAAGATGTGGGATAATCAGGCACAAACATACCAGCCACATCACTGGTTCCAAGGCAAACCGACCTGGTCTGGAGGCTCATTTCCCACTCAATAGTTGCATGGCTAGGTCTTGTTTACAAAGCTGCTCACTCACGCATAGGACAACCTCACCAGAGAGAGACTAGCTTTGAGTCAAGAACTCAACTCTCAACAAAATGGCACCTTTTCCATATCCTAAATTTCCCTTGTGATGCTATTCCCTTCCCCTTCCTTCTAAAAGGTATTGCTGCTGTCATTGCCCTAATCTTCCTGTCCCTTCCATGTCCCCTCTCCACCCCACACACAATGCTACAGCTCCTACAGAAACTCCTGGACCCCATACACACACCATCACCATGTTTCTATGACAAGACCTGGAAAAATATGTCACTGACATATAAAACACAAAAAATGATTTTATTCTCAGCCTGGATCTGTATCTCCCTACTTATATTAACTCTCATTCTTTTTTCTAACTTGACTCAATTCCTGTCACCTGATTTCTCTTTCTCTCTAAAATGACACCTTTTCATATCCTAAATCTCCATTTCTACTCCCTTCAACTCATCCTTCATCTTGCTTTCTGTTCCTCAATACCTAAAATGCTCTTTTTGTCTTTGCAGCTATAACTCATTTATCCTCACCTCCTTTTGATCTATATATGCATCTTGATACACAATAAGAGACCCTAAAATCTTCTTAATATCCCAACTAGATCACGTAACAATAGCAGCCTCTTTTGTTAGTAGCTTTAAAAATCTGACTCCTTCCCAGAAGCCTCTGTAAATATTATACTCAAGTTTACATCAATTAGACAGTTATACAAAGGGTAGAAAAGGGCACAAGAAATGTCTAAAGAGCAACCTTTAAAAATAAATCTACTCAGAATCTGACCTTATATCTATCATTGCTTATTTAATCAATAAATAAAATGAATGGGGAAGCAGGAAAACAGAGAGATTGTCAATGGGAAATGATGGCTAGGAAGAAAGATTATGAAGAATTATAAGTATGAATTTTATTCTGAAAAAAAAGAGGGAGCTTTACAGACAAATGTACATTTAAAGTTTTTAACTTCTAAAACAATCTGCACTCAAAAATGCAAATTTAAATTTGAGCTTCATGTTAGTGGAATTAAACTTATCAAATAATATTTACCAAAGTTTTGGGTTTTATAAATCATGAAGTAGAAACAGTTTTTTTTTTTTTCCAAAAGAATTTGAAAGTTAGCCTCACATTTGTTAGAAGTCCAGTTGAAACCAATTAGGGGCTGCTACTTTATGCCTTTGCCAATCTACAATTCAAGGAGACCAGCAGGTACCTGCCAGGTTTTTCCTGATTAGACCTGATTGCTCTCCCTTACTTCACCTTCTCTTGTTTTCTCAGTAGCCTTTCTCTCTTCTTCAGGATTTCTCTTTGTTTCCATGTTTTACCTATCCCTGAGTCTCTGACATGAGACTGTCCCTTCCTTCCTCCTGGCCGAGTTTTTGGTGCCAACCACTGGTATCTTGTAGACTGTCCCCTAGCATATTCTGCAGTGCATCAGGCATTCTTGGGGCTTGTTGCTCTCTTTAACCCCAAACATAGGGGGCAAGTGCTGAATAAATGAAAAGACCAGAACTGGAATAGAACAATAAGTCACTGACATAAAACACAATCCATAAGAAAAGCAAAATAACATAAGGATATAAAATGTGATACCTGATGGGCCAGAATATAGATATTGTGTCCAACATCCTTTGGGGAAACACCATCATCTCCGCCTTCATCTTCCCCATGATCACATTCCAATCCTTGGTTATAGGCATTCTTCATCACATCTACCTAATGGGAGAAAAAAAAGAACAACAAACAAGGTTTGAAATGCCACAACACACGTTTTAGATTTTTTTGTGTCATAATTTAACATTGGGAAGCTTCATGAGTCTCAAAAGTATAAAAGACGTATAATGAAAATATCTTTGAAAACTCTTTAAATGAATATGTAGTCCTGCAATCCTACAATTCTTGTCTTCCTTGAAATTTTTGCTTTGACTTTGAATGTTAATTGTCAAAGTTCACACGATTTATGAGAATCTGGAACCCTGAGAAACATCCATTATTTAGTGAGCCCCCACAAGGGAACAGACAGACATGGTTTTGGATGTGGTATAATAACAAACAACAGTGATAATAATACTAAGTGAAAACAACAGGGCCTCTCCCCTCAAGGAACTTACTTCCAGTGGACAGTCAGCAAGTCAAGAACTGGTATTTTTCAAAAAGCTATTGCACAGTTCTGTTGCTGAATAAATTCATAATTCATTGCTCTATTTAACTATAGGATTGGGACACTGCTGCACTTCTTAACCCACTGCTTATTATTAGCAAATCAAGATTACTAGCAAATCAAAATTTTAAATAAATTTGAATGATTTAGGTTGAATTAGTATGAAAAATTCATGACTCAGAAATATAATATAAATTTATTGATAACAAAGTCAGGTGTAGTAGCACATGCCTGTAATCCCAGCTACTCAGGAGGCTAAGACAGAAGAATCACAAGTTTGAGGCAAGCCTGGGCAACTTAGTAAACTCATTAAACTGTGTTAAATCAGACAGTATCTTATCTCTCTTCTTGACTCCATTATTTACTAATAAAGAAAAGATAGTGATGTCAGCCTCCCATCGGGTCTCTCCATAGCACCAACCACGGTGTTGATGCAAATGGGACTTAATCACTGTGGCACTGAGCTATATGGCTTGAGTACATCCTCAACACCTTTGAAACTTGCTGCTTTAAAAACATATCTATGTTACTTCATAATTTGCATGCCGTAAGTAAGAAGAAAAATATAACTTCTACAATAGGAAGATATTAATAATATCTGTGGAATCACCATCAAATCTCTGCACAATTTCCTCTAGGCCAAGCATTGTGTAACATTTCTCAGGTAAGAACAACTACAAAAAATACATATTTAATTTTACTTTTCAAATAGGCATACAATCTGGGAGATGTCTTATAAACAATTTTTACAAACCTTCCTTACATACAGTCTTTCTGTATCTATGGGAAATTTGGTACCCCCGAGGATACCAAAATCTGGGGATGCTCAATTTCCTCATAAAAATGATGTAGTGTTTGCATATAATCTATGCACAGCCTCCCTTATACTTTAAATTATCTCTAGATTACTCATAATGCTTAAAACAATGTAAACACTACATTAATAGTTAATATGCTGTATTGTTTAGGGAATAATGACAAGGAACAAGTCTATACATATTCTGTACAGGCACAATTTTTAAAAATTATTTTTGTTCTGTGATTAGCTGAATCCACAGATGTGGGTGGGACTCCTGGATACACAGGGCTGACTATACTCCCCAGACACTATTAAACTAAAGTCAACTTTTTTTTTTTCTGGCAAAAACCATTTGCATATAGTTTAGTAGAGTGTAACAATCTGGCTAGGAGAAGTACTCAGAGTGGATAAAATGAATGAAGTCATAGGACCAATTCCTATAGACCTTTGGAAGCACTTGTAATGGTGAGTCATGATGTTCTATTAGGTCTGGGCAGAGGAGGGAAAGTTGCTAGCCTTTTCTTTGACAGGCTTATCATCATCCTCTCCCTTTTAGGCTACACATTATTTTTTAAATTTGTTTTAATTAGTTACACGTGACAGTACAATGACCTTGACATATGATACATTTGAATCAGATGGGATATAATATCTCATTTTTCTGAGTGTACAGGTTGCAGAATCACATTGGTCATGCATTCACATATATACACACAGTAATAATAATGTCTGTTTCATTCTACTATCCTTCCTATCTCTCCAACCCCTTCTCTCCCCTCCCATCACTTCTCTCTACCTAATCTAGGGTAAAGCTCCTTCCCTTTCCCTCCCACCCCTCTTCCCTATATAGAGGTAATCTTCTTCTCCTGCTCTTCCTCTCTTCCCCATTTTGAGTCATCCCCCTTATATCAGAGAAGACATTCAGCATTTGTTTTTTAGGGATTGGCTAACTTCCCTTAGCATAATCTGCTCTAATGCCATCCATTTCCCTGCAAATGCCATGATTTTATTATTTTTTAGTGGCTATACATTATTAACACAATTTAAAAACTTTTCCTTACCAGTTCCCTGGGTCTCATGTTGAAAAGAATTCTCTCTGCATTCTCGCTGTCATGTCTGCTTTCCATAATGGCCAGCAAAAGCTTGGAGGCGTTGTTCTAGAGACACAGATTGAGTTAATGCACATATAAAGTCTATTTCATGGACTAATGATCCCCTGCGTTTGTTTTAATTGAGATTTCCAGGACCATTTTTTAATCAAACAGAATTGAAAATTGACCATTTCTTTTGTCTTATTAATGTTTTAAATTGGATATTTAACTTCATTGTCAATACAAAATAAATCTAATGAATCATAAGAGATACCACAAGGGATATTTTAATTATTGGTGAAAAGATGCTTTAAATACAAAATTGACTGCATATATAAGTAGATATACATATTTATATATATAGAATGCAAATATATTTTCCTTCCTTATTTCCTAAATAGTCATTTGTATCATGACATTTTAATAAGAAATAAAGTGAACAGGAAATGATGACATATTTTATAGAAATGTCATAAACTTAAAGAGGTTAGCACAGTTGTTTTTGAAATAAAATACTATTAGCAAATCAAAATTTTAAATAAATTTGAATTATTTAGGTTGAATTAGTATGAAAAAATTCATGAGTCAGAAATATAATATAAATTTATTGATAACAAAGTCAGGTGTGGTAGCACATTCCTGTAATCCCAGCTACTCAGGAGACTAAGACAGAAGAATCACAAGTTTGAGGAAAGCCTGGCAACTTAGTAAGACCCTGTCTCAAATAAAAGTTAAAAAAAAAGTGTGTGGGGGGGCGCTTGGGATGTAGCCCAGTGGTAGAACACTTGCTTACTATATGCAAAGCTCATATTCAGTATTTGGACTACGGCAGAATAATATATTTTTTTTATGGTTGGTTGTTTCATTTTGCCATACTAGAGATTGAACTGAGGGCCTTGCATGGGTAAGTGTACTATCACTGAGCTAGGTTCCTAGCCCAAGGATAGTATTTTCTATTTTTGCTTAATAGAGAACAAAATAGCTTATAATATTTGATATGCTCTTATTTTATTTATAAATATATTATATCAAATATTTTACTTAGAGATATCAAAAATGTGTCTAAAACAATTTGCAATCCAAATGGGCAACACAAAGTTACACAAAGTCTTATCATAGAAAGAATAATTTCCTAGACATTTTGAATGACCACTGCAGGCTTGGCTAAAAGTTCAATATGCTATCCTCTGCTACAGAGCTGGTTCTAGACATTATGAAAAATGTTTCCATACACTATGATTTTAAATAGTGCTGCAGTAGAATTTTGGCTGGCAAAAAAATACCCAGGAGATATTTCTACAGAGTTTTGTTATATTCATTTAGACCAGAATCTTAATCTTCACATATAATCTCTGATAGCACAAAATAGGTAGAGTCAATGGTTTTTAAGGCACTTCAAAGTGAGTCAAAGTTAATATCTTTTACAGAATAAAAAATTAAATTCAATCAGCATTCAATCTAGGTGGACAATCACCACACGAATTTTTGTAAGATTATGTAAAGTAATTCCACTGTTTAATTTTAGTACTAAGTTCTATCCTGCTATTCCAGAAGTACCACATGAAGACTATTTTGAAGTGACTGATATTACAAGATGATGAAGATGAAGAGCTGTAGATGGCACCAAAGCCACTGACCCACAGGGATCTTAGTACTTTTATCCCATTTTCATTTTTTTCAGATTTGCACCAATTCTAATACCCACTTTCATAATGTAGGATCCTGCATAAACAACATAACTAAGAAATATGATTTCAGGATTAGTGGAGAGCTTAAATCCTTAGCGCCATCTGAACAGACCTCCCCAGAATTCAAAGCTCACTCCCTGGCAACAGGAGCAGGGCTTTCTAACGAATCACACGCAGCAGGACCAATACATAATAGCTTAAAAATACATCCAATTTCAGAATGCTATTGGCAATATGGTATTTTTTGACCAATTTTCTTTTTCATACTATGTCAGAAGAATAGAAAGAAATCTTATAAATGACCTCCTAAAATCTGAATCCATTTTAAAGTACAAGACCCTATATAGGCTAAAAAATCAAATGGAAGTGTCAGAGTTAATAGGGGGGTTTTCTTCCAATGGAAGCCAGAATCTTCAAAACAAAACAAAACAAAAAATATTATTTGTTTACAAACTCAACATTTCATATTTACCAATGATAAGAAATGGAAGTAAAAAGTTTGAAAAATTCATAAAGAATTATACTATGAGTATACAAAATATAAAGTTATGAGCAATTAAGCAATCAAATTCAGTAATGAATGATATAAAATAAAACCTTAATATTTTTAATGCAGCATCTGTATAATGTTATAGAAAACTTATAAAAGCTCCATACCCATGAAAGCCCCTCAAATTTACCAATGTACATCTTACTGTCAAGCAGACATTGTTTTCATGTTAACCAATATAAACAAAACCTCTGACTGTTTAGAAAGCTACATTCACCTCATTCTTTAAGTAAAAAACTATACGTCAAATATTTCAAATCAAATCTGTAAATTTGGTATTTCAAACAAATCTTGACTTATCAAACTATTGTATTTTAAAAGATATAAATTGTGCTTATTAAGTAAAAATTAAAGAAATCTTTGTTTAAAAGTATTTTTATTTGGATAGCTTATATATTTGTACTACTAAACCATACCCATTTAAGATTTGTTGTTGTTGTTTTTTTTTTTACATAGGTCTGGATTTGTAAGTAATCTATATGTCCGTACTTTATTTATTTATCTATGTCTATTATTTTCAGCATGGGAGATTGAAATCAGGAGCACTTTACCACTGAGCTACAACCCCAGCCATTTTTATTTTGTATTTTGAGACAGGGTCTCATTAAGTTAGTAAAGCTGGCCTTGAACTTGCAATGGTTAAAGATAAATTTAAGATAAAGTAACAAAAAGGTTTTATGTAACTCAAGTGAAGCTGACTGTCATAGAGGCTCAGATGCTTCATTAACTGAAGCCTGCAGCCAGCAAGTCAAAGGGCACAAGTGCTGTCCACGTGGGGACCACCTTCATTCTGTCCTGAATGGAGGAGCTCAAAGCTCACGCAGATGACAGTGGAAAAATACAAATGCAACTCTTCTGCAAAAAGAAGCAGCACCTGCTTACTAGGGGCCTGTAGCACAACCTTCACATGAGTAGGACATATGTATATTCCATCTGATACTCAAACCTGCATTTAGAAACAGAATCATAAAAATATCATTTCTATTTTTCTTGGCCATAAATTTACCCAAAGTTCAACTTAATTATATGCTTTCTATCATATTGGATAGCCCTGGCTTTGCAGAGAAATTGTATTTATCCCTGATTGTGCTTTTTTAAACCTGCTCAACACTAAACACAATAATGTGGTCTTAAATAATTTATTTCAATTGAATATCATGCCTTAGAATTTGGGATATATATAGTTTCTAGACAAATATTCATTTGTCTACTTTCATTTGAACAGAAAGTTCAAAAAGAAAAAAAAATTTAATTGCCCTTTTGTTTTTGGGAACCGGACTTGTTGAAGTGGGTTCCAGGGTTTGCTTTAAGGGCTTTCTTTAAGGGCCTTGGGATTTTACCACCTTTTTTTTTGGGGGGATTTCGGTTTTTATTTTAAAGGGGCTTTGGAAGGAGGCATAAAACTAAAATATGTCACTCCTTTGACGTTATCTAATTAATTATGACCTGCTGTAGCCCAGGTGGGCTATAAGTACACGGTGTGGTCAGTGTTCAGCATATTTAGCTTCTCTGTATAATGAAAATTACAAAATAAAAACAGCAAGGAAGTAGTGAAACAAAGTGGCTGCTTGAGAGAACATCCACACAGGAGCTTGCAATTGAATATTACCTCAAAGTAAAATTTCCGTTTTATCAGAAATTTTTTGAGCCTTTTGATTTTTAAATCTCTTTCTGTCAACTCATTAGTTGAAAATCTGATCACATCTTACATTTGACAAATGCTGTTTGAAGACTTAGAGTCAACTCTGGAAGGGAGTTTTATGTAGGAAATGTAACTTTTCCCACTGGAACAGCAGATTTTACTCTACCTTTAGCTGGAGCACCAGGTCCATTCGGTATTTACCAAGAGGATTTATGTCATTCAGAATCAAAGCAATGATGATATCAATTCCATTGGATTCATGAGTAGCAATGCAGGTCTAGAAAACAAAACATTTGTAAAATAACCTTTTATTTACAAATGAACAACACTAGATACAATAGGACATAAAATAGCAGAATCACCTTTATTTTTTGACCTTTAAAACATAATTGAGATTTAACTTTATTTGAGTTATTCTTTTGTGTGGAGTCTTTTAATTGATTGGTATTAGGTAAGAGGCTTTGGACGCAGAGCATTAAGAGAGACAGATGTCTGTGAATGCCTATTTTTAAAATGAACTATTTTTTTTTTCAGAATTTCAAAGACCACTGATCATGTTAAATACTCTTCTGGCCAATAAATTTTTAATACAGCCATCAACAGAGGAGCTCTTTAAACTTTCCAGTTTTAAGATTTCACCCATCCTAAGAGAATATAAAAAAGGGAGATCTGTAGGTAAATTTTATAGGACTGATGTAGCACTTTATTTTAGGTGCTACTTAATGCTAAATTGGTGACGAGAGGTGGTGTGAACGTGCTGGACAGCAGCAAAGACAGATGATGTGGGAATCTCCTAATATTTGGTGGGGGGGAACACACTGTCAGGTATGGTGTATAAGGGAACATTTTGACAGATTTCTTAAACCTGGGTGATCTATAGAGAGATTTTTGATTGGGGAAATTCCATAAAACATCTCGAGACATAAATATGCACATTTTGAAGGTAAAGATCTACTGTGCTAGGGTTCTGAACTTAGTTTTACAGAACTTAAGATTCAAAAGGTTTGAGGGCTAGATTCGTGGGACTATGTTACAATGGAGAACCTTGCCATAGAGTTTGAAAAAAATCTGAAAACTTGCTGAGTTAAATGAGAAAGGGTAATACCAAGACAAGTCTGAAATGACTGCTTTTTAGGATAGGCCTTATTTTTCCTTTATACAAGGAAACTGTCCGTCCCCTGACACAGAGGAACGGCGTTTTCCATCCACCTTTCCCATGATTTCCTTAGGTTCTTCTGCCCATGAAATGTTTACTAAATGTAAAGGGAGTCTAGTTGCAGTCCATTTCTAGAATTTGCTAGTAACCTTCTTTCCTTCCATACATTTTCAGAGCATGGGAAATTATATGTGGGGTTAGAGTTATTTTATTATTAGTTTTTACTTTTAGAACTTACTTGGTATTAATAAATTATCTTCAAAACTCAACTTCATCCTCTTATAAAACCAAGAGTTAGGTACATTCTAATAGGCTGCCCATGAAATAATAATAGAAGTGCATGGCAAACATATTTTCTGTTATAGATAGACATGGCTTTATCAACAAAACCAAATCTCTAAATTTGCATATTTTTCCTTAACTTATAAATTAACTGTTAGGTTTTCTTGTATCCTTGCCCTAGGAAATTGAAACAGAATCCAAAAAAATTCAGGGAAAAATTCACAAACTCACATGTGCCTTACAAAGAAGAAAAAATTATCCCTATAACAAATTATTTATATCAGTGATTCTCATGTTTTACTTGTTTACGTTTTATGTTGTTTACATGTTTTATGTACCTATAATGTATATGTGTGTGAGTATATGTTCCTACATACACACATAGTCACTCTATATGTGTATATAATTTGCAATACAAAAGTAAATTTCTTTTTCTCATTTCCACTCTACCAACAACTGATGTTTGTTCTCAATGGCTTCTTTAACATTTATATCCAGAAATGTCTGTGATTGGAAAACTCTTCCTGCGTAAGCCTGTGCTTATGATGGTAGCTCTATAAAGCTTGTGTGGATGCAAAAATATCATTTGGCTCCTCTTTCCTCTACTCACCAAAAGTTATGTCTTCTCCCATAATGTGTCCTTGATATCCAAAACAAAAATGGAATAGGAAACCTACATTCTAGAAAACAGTATTGAACTTTGTGCCACCCTCCAAAATTAATACAGTCAAAAGAGCACTCTATTTAGATTCAAAATCTAAGGTCTTGAGTTTTAGAAACAACTCCACAACTAACCAATTCTGGCACTCTGAGACACTGGGAAGTCACTTAATCTCTTGAGTCCGAACCTATTCATCAGCAAAATTGGAGCAATAACATCTCCTTCATAAGTTTTACTGTGAATATAAAAGAGAATATACACTAACCCCAGTAGTAGGGCAAAAGGAAGTTTATTCTACAATCCTGGAAAGATTCACTACAGATTAAAACTGAGCATTGGGGGAAGAGACATATTTTACCTTTTGTTCAGTAATTCTGACTTTTATCTTGAACGTTTTCATGGGAATTTGCTTTTATGATGAAATTAAATAAAGATATGGCACAGTATTCACTACTCTATAATTCAGTCTTTGTATGTTTTGTTAGGAAAGTAAAAATGTCTGGCAAAGCAAGAAGAAAAATCCTTCAAATGTACACAAAGGTTGGCTGCTTCCCTAACTTGGCCCTTTGCTCGTGAGTCATGACTACTTTTGCATGAGGAACTGCTTTCATAATTACCTGATTTTCATGGCACGGACCCTGGCAATATTCAGTCAAGCTCTCCAGGGTCTGGTTGACCAGCGCTACATTCTTCTCATTGATGTAGAGACCCAATAGGCCCAGGCCGCCTGTTGTACTCCCACAAATGCAGTCCAAAAACTGGAGGGTCTCACAGACAAGGTTGTAATTTGTCTTGTTGTTTTGATTTCTCAAGAAGTTCTGAGGGCAAAAGAAAATACATCACAGGGGTTAAAAAAAAAAAACAACCTATACTAATTGCTTTCAAGTCTCTCTCTCTATGTGTGTTTTTCTAACTCAAAAATATCCCTGAGGCAGTGAGGGATGGAAATGCTCTTTATAAGAAAGTGTTCACATTTGCTAATTTACTAGAAGGTTTAAGATGGGAAAAAGCCTACAGGTTTTAGCTCAAGGTTCTGTATCAACTGTACAGTTCATAATGAACACTTCTCAATGTCCCCCGTTTAAAACAACTTAGTAAGGGAGAAATAATAAGTATGAAAAGGAGGAGAAGAAAGTAAAAGCAAAAAGCAGTTCATTAGAGAGAGAAATAATCAAATTTCAAGTAAAGGGTCCCTGACAGGTAATGCCGCTTCATTGTTTGTTGATTGTAATGATAGCACTTGGAAGCATTGTCAAAAATTTCAAAGAGTTAACACAAATCTATATAAAAGAGGTTGTATACTGCTTTTTATAGCAAAATCTCTTATCAGACCCATGGCAAGGTGACTGGCTTAACCAATAATAGTACATCCAAACCCTGATATATTGTGAGGCTATAAAATGAGGCACATCAGTATATACCGATAAGCATAGCCTAACAATATATAAGTTAGAAATAAAGTATATTAATTAATAAACAAGTAAATTGGAGGATACTATGAAATGTGTATTCTCTTTAATAAAAGGTTTACACACATATCAACATTTACATGGGCACAAAAATTTCTACAAGGAAATACAACCTATTAATAGTGATTTTCTTGAGGAATAAGCCTAGTGAAATAGTAAGCAAGAAGGAAGAGTTTTATTTCTTAATACATTGCTTATATTTATTGTTTTAATTAATTTAATTTATTCATTTGAATTCATTTCTACCATTTATTATTCTTAAAACTATTTTACATGTAGTGATTCCCTATATTGTTTGATCCCATACTCCTATCAGGAAAATGTCCAATCAAAAATTCTATCTCTTATACATTCCATATATCTGTTCCCTACATTGACAGACTGGACGGGTTAGGACAAGCATGTAGGCACACATCCAGCACCCTTTCTCTAGAAGGAATGCTTCTGGATTGGCTTGCCAACTATGTTGCAGAAGCTCTCCCCAAGTTGTGGTGGGATGGTTCACAAGAGTAATGACTTTCAACATCGTTAATTCCTGAGCTTCTCATCCCCGTGGAAGACATTTAGTCCAATATGTCTTAACCTACCATATCCCACCAATTCAGAGCCCTTGCACTCTAGATCCTCACCAGAAAACACAACTTCATAATCCACTGTCCTCTACTGGGGACAGGTGGTCTTATAGTGAAAATGGAAGATAAGAGGCACTGCAAATTTCAGCCACTTCCACTAGAATTCATTAATGGATTCTTTTGCCAGCCGTACCACCTGGAAGGGTGGCTGGGCTGGCATGATGGAAGGTGTGCTGGACCTGAGATGGTCTGTTGACTAAAACCGCCTCAGGTAAGCATACGCACTCACTTTCAATCAGGACAATCAAGGATTTCAACATTTCATATGGCTTTGCCATGGTGACATAAGCAAATAATGCAAAAAAAAAAAAAAAAGTCAAATTCTTAGGCTCCTAAACTCATCTGTCTGACCAAGGACAATGTAGCAAAGAAGATATTAAGACATGCACTGTACTCATTTACAAAGGTATCAACCTTCATTGATGCAAAAAATCCTTCTCTGTATTAACTTTGTTTCTAATAAAAACAAAACATATTCAGCATCCTCAAAACCATGAAAGGCATAGATGAGACCAATTGGACTTTCCTCAACAAATGCAAGAACAATGAAGCTCATTGAGGATAAAAAAAAAATTGAGTTGTGGATACACAAGATGATAATGTGTGCATCTGATTTTTTCATGCATCAAGGAACTTTTTTCTCATTTTTCTTTGCTGATAGAAAAGTTTTCTTCCATTTCAGAAAAGCATTTCTGGCTTTATTGATTATCTCTCCAAATCTCTCTCCCAAACTACTTGTTAGCTTTATTTGAGTTTAATTACTTATAACCACAGGCTTATTCTCAGCTTTCACACAAAATAGAACAAATACCTGCAGCTCCCGGTTGTGATTCTCACACAGTAACTGAAGAAATCTCAGGATTGGCTGCATGATGGCAATTGCGGGACTCATTGTTACTTCCTCTGCAGATTTTTCCTCCACGTTTCCCACTTCTGAGCCTGTGCACATAATGTCTATTTCTGGATCCATTTCTCTTCTGTATACACAATATGCTTTAGATGTTGCCGAAGAAGCTTCTGTTAACTGCCCTTTCATACCCTCTTTTAAATGTAGTGATGAATCTCTTACTGAAAATAAAGTAGTATTCTTATATTTCTGAACTAATTTTCTTTCTAATTAAAATAAAAGAAAGACAACCAGAGGCCCCAATTCTCTAACAATTGTATTAAAAAAATCATCTGACAAGAGATGCAACAATTATCTCATAAGGGATTTGAGGTGAAAAATAAAAAATTAACATTTGCAGTGGAACATCAGAAAAGATTTCAATCCTTAGCCAATTTTAGAATTTTCTTATATCTATATCAGAAAGACAGACACACAGAGACAGACACACACACACAATCTATGAACTTATTACATACAAGAAGGTTGGGAAAATATGACAAACTTCAAAATGTTAACATCTTTATGACTTGTAATTAATATTGTGATAATTTTTTTTATTTTAAATACCAAGATTCTTTTGTTAGATAGAGTTTAATGCTACCAGTTTTGTTCCAAATCTTAAATTTTCATGGTGACTCTAAAGGTTTCAGGCAGTTGTTGTGTACCACACATGCCACAGTAAAATCAAAGAGTTCTCATGTCACCGATTGCTTCACACTGATTAATCCTCATCTAAGTTTGCTCCTGCAAGGCCCATGACCAAAACTCTTTATGGATGGAAGTTCACGTTCAGAGCCACAGAGGTGATTATTAGGCCAAGATAAAGGAGACTATAAGGACAAGAGATGTTTAAATGCTACATCACCGTCTCTTCTCTCACCCTCTTCTCCCCAAGAGCCAAAGAGTTCTTTACCTCTCACTCGTGGGCCGGATGTCATCAACTCACTGTCCTCATCCCTCTTTTTGCTCCCTAGATCAATGGTGTTCACTGTCACTGTTGATCTTATCTCTTTCTGAGCCGCCTTCATTCGATCATAGAGAACTTTGAAGAATTTTTCTGACTTTTTTTGTTCATGCAACTGCTTGTAGAAGGAACTCTGCAAGAAAACATATTTTAAGATATCAATACCCAAGAGAAGAATAGTTGTTTTCATGCAGGAAGTGAACATAAGCATTATAGATAAAAGCACATATTTAAAATGCTACCCATTATTACTTCATAAATTGACAGCCTTTCAGTCTCTTGTACTAGTTAATGAGAACTAATAATAGCTAGTTATTTACTTAGCACTTTCTACTAAAAACATATTTTAATGTGTTATTTCAGTTATTCTTACCGATTATATTTTTTTAAATTATAAGGTTATTATAAGATGTTGTATGAAAAGAGTTTTTGATTTTTATTTTTTTATAAAGTCACACCTTGATTCAACACATATTTACTGAATGCCTACTGTGTGCCAGCTCTACCTAGTGCTAAAGATAGAACAAAAAAGGAAAAGCAACCACAATCCCTGTACTCATGGGTTTGTAATCTTAAAAAAAAAAAATCCATAAGTCCAATGTTTACCCTATTTAAAATATGAGCTTATATTAAGTTATGAAGAGTTATTTTTCTCTTTATCTAAATTACAGTACATTTAATTTAGAATGGTTACCATGACAACCTCTCTCATAGGAACCTACTGATAAATAGGCATTAAGTTTTTTCAGTACTCATTAGTTACATTGCTTCACATGGGGTCTAGGACAAATCCAACTTAAAATAAATCCTGCTCTATAGTGAATAATGATGTAGAAAGGATTCAACATCAAAAATATGATAAAATTATCTTAGTAAGATTCGTAAATACTGAGCCTTAAAAATATGTACTCTAATCATTGTCTGATCCATGTCTTATGAAAGTATTCAGAAGGGGTAAGAGATAGGAAAGGTGATATACTCCAGAGAAGGTAGAATTTGAAATGGGTGGAGAAATTATAAACTATTAATAATAAATCTATGAGATAGTCACAACATAAATAAGAGAAATATAGCAAAAATTTAATGAAGATAATAATCATGTGACTATAATGATAAAAAAAAGAGATTTTTGTAAGCTTAACAAGAGGTAGTGTAAAGAAAATATATATATAAACAATGATTTCTAGATGAAGGAGAACTGTCCATAGTCCAAAATAAGAAAATCTAAACAGGCCATTTTGGGGAATTTGACTGTTTCAGATATGCTCTCCTAAAGGAGTGCCTGGAACCATGACCTGCAGGTCTTGGGACATGTGAGACTCCAACGGCATCGGGTTTTGCAATTTTCTATGTGGCAATGCACATATGCACAGTGAATTTAGAAGCATGAGATGCCTACTCCACCCACACAAGAGGAAGCTCCCAAGTGGAGGGTGAGCAACCCTCAAGGCAGCAGGCCAAAAGTCACAGTAACCATAGCAACTGCAGCCCAACAGCCAAGCTGGTTCTGTTGGTTCAAAGGATAAACAAAGCGTTCACAGATCTCTGTGGTTCCACAAATTAAGCTGAAGCTTAAGCCCTAAAATTTTGAGACAATATGGTTAGAAGGTGGAAGGAGGTCCCAATATATTAGTAAAGAAGATATGGAAATGTTGTGGCTCTACTGAAACAGGGTTTTACAGTTGATGTAGAGCTTTTACTCATATCACATCATGGGCACCTTTAGTCCAACAGTGTGATGCACCAGGTGCTCTTTTGCCATTTTATAGATTAATAAAATGAGATTTAGTAAAGGTAAGTGATTTGCCCAATATTACATAATGAGTAAGTAGTAGAGCAAGGATTTAAATCTAGATATTGACTCCAAACCACTAAATTATAAAATAGCAATATAAACTCAAAACAATAGATCATTTACATAGACAATACCTTTTAAAACCCACGGTTCTACAATCCTGAACAGCATGAGTTTAAGAAAATTAAAAGTATGTTTCATAGACAATTTTATAATCTCAACAGACAGGTAAGGATTTAACAATAAAGATATTGTTTCTGCTTGGGAAAGTATCTTAGGGAGCTGCAGAGTGTATAAGGGGGAAAGCCAGGTCCTTTTTAGGAGCCAAAGGTAATGGATAAACACATTTGTGTGACAGAGGAAGGATTTGGCCCCAAAGAAGAGGAGGCAGACTGAAAATGGAAGGGCTGAGAAGAGAAGTGAAATAATGAACTAGAAACACAAGAGAGGACAAGGGTATGACGCAAGGTGAGTCAGCCAGTGACACTTCCAGGGCTGAGGATATAGAAGGTTATTTCTAGAAAGGAGATGTTTATTGTGGCTAAGATTACAGAATCTGGAGTCAGACTGCATGAGTTCAGATCCTGACTCTACCAAGTAGCTGTGTGAGTTTGGAACTATCTGTTTCTTCTTCTGTAAGAATTCATGTTGCTTTGTGGGTTGTTGGAGAATTAGCCAATAAATACAAACCACCAAGAGTGGTGCCTGGGATTTAGTAGATATTTCTCTTTCCTATTGTTATGATTAGTATTTGAAATTGAAATGTGAGTTCTTCTATCATCCACCAACCAATCTTTAATAAAGTATGTTAAACACATGAATTGATTTATATAGTTAGGAAGGTAGAAATTAAGGAAGGGGGCTCTGATTCATATCTCAATAATAGAAGGAGGGCTGCCAAGATAATCCATGAACTAAAATGCAGGACACTGGTGACTAAGGAAACAGTGAGAATGTAAAACCCCCAGGGGATTGGCAGGAGCCTGGGGAGGGATGCATTTCAGTCTATAATAGTGCAGGGTTCAGGATTCCAGCTAATATCAACTAGACCTCTGAGGCCAGCTGGACACAGATGACATTTAGGTGACACAATGATGTACTTAATTGAAGAACCTGACCAGGGGGAAGCCTAGCAAATGAGATTGCCATAGGTCATCTTATAAGAAACTTGTTACATACAAATGTAATTTAATACTCTTTCATCAACAAATATCCATTAAATAGCTGTAAAAGACTATAGATACAAAGAATAGAACCCGATCTTCTATATTAAGAAGTTGAATTTTATTAGAGAGGGTGCAGTACAAATTAAAAAATTAAAAAAAAAACAAGGTAGCACAAGCAAAGCAGCAAGTAAGAATTAAAGAACCAGTGCTAGGGAAGTTCACTTAAGGGAGCAGTTGCCAAATGCCCCAGCCAGACAAGAAACTATGAATGAGGAAGAATTTGACTGGGACCATTTGTAGATACATTCACTCCTGAGCATTTATTTATTGTACTCTTAGATAGAGTCAGATATAATATCAGATATAAAGAAGAACATGTGGTCTTAACTTTTAAGGATTTTTAATTTATTAGACAGAGTCTTAAGCACACAAGAAGTGGCCCAATAAAGTGGCAGTACCGCTAAAGATGTCTGCAGGTCACAGAGGGCCCTTCTGCAACTAGCAATCAATTCCGCCCAAAGGGACATGGAGTCAGAAAAGGCTTCCATGAGAAATCTATGGAGGTGAAGAGAAAGCACGAAGAATAACATATTTGGGGAGCTGAAGAGTTTAGTGTAGCTGGCGTGAAAGAGAAAGAACAGAGGGGGGCAGTGGGAAGTTAGACAAGTTGACAGGATTCAATCATGAAGGCTCTGATGGACTAGAGTAGGGAGTTTGCCTTTGCGGGGCAGGTAATGATCAGAAGCAAGGCAATAACAGGTTTTGGAAAGATATCCTTGGAAGAAATAGGGAGAATGATTTGGAGAAGAGCAAAACTAGAAGCAAGTATACTTCTTGGAAGGCTTCTCCTCACAATTCATTAAAATATAAGAAGGATCTGTAGGAGGGTTGGACAAGCAGGGGTTGAAAATAAAGCATGGATATGAAAGATGTTAAGAGGACAGAATCACAGAGGTTGATCATCCTGGGATATCCAGGAAAGAGTGAGGGTGAGTGAGGGTAAGTTAAGGTGAAGGCTGGCTTTTGAAATTCTTTCTTTCTTTCTTTTTTAAATATTTGTTTTAGTTATAGGTGAACACAAAGCTTTATTTGTTTATTTATTTATTTTTTATGTGGTGCTGAGGATTGAACCCAGTGCCTCACACATGCTAAGTGATTGCTCTACTGCTGAGCCACAACCCCAGCCGCTGGCTTTTGATTTCTGTGTAGACAGCTTAATAGATGCAGTGCTAGTCATCAAAAGAGACAATGCACAGGGAGGAATGGGCATGTAGAGAATAATAGTGGATTCCATTTGGAATGTGTTGAGCCTAAGATATTGTTCAACATCTTGTAAAGATCTCTGGAAGATACTTAGATGCAGCATCTAGGACTTCAGTGAGTGAACTGAGAATCATCAGCATAGAGCAGAAATTAAAGATGTGAACATGAATGAGATTCAGTTGGGGATCAAGTAGAATAAAAGAGGAGGGTCCAAAGAAACTGGGGGAAATGTCAGGATTCAGGAGTTAATCAGAGGAAGAGGAATCTTCACAGAATGCTAAGAAGAAATGGTAGAAGGTGGGAGGAGAAGCTGGAGAAGGGGGTATCCCAAGACCAAGGCATGAAAAAGGTCTCAAGAAGAAAATCGAAAGTCACCAGTGACAAAGTGCCACAGAAATGTCAAGAAAATAAGGACTAAAATATGTTTTGGTTATGAAGGAATCTAGGAAATCTTTATCCACTTTGCCAGGAATTGAAAAAGTGGCATATGCAGTTTCTGACTGGTGTTGGCTTATTCTCCAACAATATGAAGACATCAGTAAGTACAAATATGCACAGAGGATGAAGAATGATCCCGTCTGATAACCCTCAGTGGTCCAGACAGAGGATTCTAGAACATCCTGTTAAGCCTAAGAATCACTTCTAGAGATGTCAAGAAATCCTTCACTCCTATTGTATGTCTACATTTAATGGAGTAGCCTAGATAATTATTCAGAAACTCCCAGCTGAATATCTGGTAGGAGAAGATGAGATAATTTCCAAGAAAATCCACTCAAATCCCTCCATTACCTCCTGCTTCAACCTCCCTCAGAGGAATCTGTGCTGTAGCTTTAGTACCACGGGAACTTTCAACACTTTTCTTTTTTCCCCCACTAAGAAATATCATTGTTTGGAGATGATTTTGTTTTTGTTTTTGTCACTGTGCCATTTGCTATTCATGAGGCCTCTGTTCCTAAAGCTTCACCATTGGATGTGTCCTATAGTGAAGTTCCTGTTGTTCGACATATTCAATGGCTAGCTAAAGCAAAGTATCCCAGATTTGAATCAGATGTGGCTTCTGCTTGCTGTGAAGAGGGACAGTGGGTTTCGGACTCCAATGAGTTGCAGTTGTTACGTTTTTGCTTGTTCACCCAGGCAAATCTAGAAAGATCAGGTTACTGAGCAGCAGCAAGGCCAGAGGGCAGCCTGTGTTTTCTGGGAACACTTCCTAGATCCCAGGCTAGCGAAGCCAGATTGCCTGTGGGCGTGGAGAGGCCTGTGTGCAACTTGGCAGGAGTTTCCAAGGGAAGTGTGTACCTTCTAGAGAAGGTGGTCAGATCCTCTGTGTGCAGGTGAGCAGATCGCTCACTGTAGCAGAATTCCTGGTCTAATGTCAGACTGATGTTTCTTAGGATGTTCTGATTTTTGGAATAATTTGTGAAGTTCTGTAGCTTTTACATCAAATTAAATAAATTTATAAGGAAAATGTGAGGCTCTTCCTTTTGTTTGTTGGTTGGTTGCTATGATAAGTAAAGAAGAAATACAAATAACAAATGTAAGGCCCATGATTGATAAACAGGCACCTGTGTTTGTGAATTTCCTCCTTCAAGCAAAGCAATGCCAAGTAAAATGCCTTCTGAAAAAATCCTGTCGTTTTTGGTGTTTACTATAACATCAATGACAAGTTCCGATGCACCCTCTTTATCCAGCAGAGACTGGATATCAGACATTGAAATCCCCGTCTTATCTGAATCTTGTCCAGAAAAGCTTCCTGTGATTAGGAAAAACAAACAAACAAACTTTAACTGCAGACACACTAGCATGCAATGTTTTCAAATCCTTACAACATAAAAAATATTTAACATTGAGCCTTTTTTCCTACATAGTTCAACATAATGGAAACTGAGTTGAAAATTACCAAAGGTGTATAAAAATGGAACTTTTGGATAAAGGTCAGACACCTGTACTTAAGTGTGATTAAATTTTTTTCTTAAGAAAACAGAAAAAAAAATAGCTTTTTTTGTCCTTTATTTACACACTTGATTTACTTATTTTTTCAAAATCACAAGACAAAATCAATTACAATGTTCAAATCTGTTTTTTTTCATGAACCCCAAACTGCACAAAGGTTTTTAAGAGTGCTTTTTAAATGAATATATTATATTTGTGCCATTCAAGTGAAATACGAAAGACTGACATAAAAAAAAAATGTCATGAGAATCCTAAAATGAAAAAACAGAGAAGCCTCACCTCCCACTTGTGCAATTTTGGCGTAGTTTCCTGTCAGGTGTCCATTCATACCAACTCCATAATCACCTTTGAAGTATCGATTCAGGAGTATTTTTCTTAATATGCTACCCTAATAAGAAAATAGAAAAAGTGTTAGTTATTGTGTCTTTTTCTAATGAAAGTAGAAAATCTCAGTATATTAAAATGCTACATAAGGTATATTTTATGGAAGATGTGTTGAGATATGGATATCTTAATTATATATCCAATAATATTTTCTGAGGCAAAAAATCATAAATATATAAATATGTACCAAAATAATAATTTTACTTCTTATAACAAATGAAGAAGGGCAGAAATTTGGAACTGATGAATGGGCTTATGACCTAGACTGTAGAGTTGGTTTCACAGATTTACCCTAACTAAACTCATCAAACTATATATATTAAATATAAATATTTTTATATGCTGGCCATACCTCAATAAAGCAATTTTAAATATAAGTTTTCTAATCCCAGAAATAAAATAAAATAAAATACGGTAGATTGTACCAGAAAAATCACAAATACTATAAAAACTGGAGGTCCCAGTGTTGGTAAGAATATCAATAGTTCCTAAAGATAACACAGAATGACACACACCCCAAGAATTAAAACACAAAGACTTAGTTAGAAAAGCTTATTAAAAGAGTTGGGGGAAAGCTGGGTATACATACATCAGCCACTCAGAAAATTAAGTTTGATAAAACAATGAATTGTATTCAGACTATAAGAAGTTTTACTCAAAAGACAGTGGGCAAAAGACCTTGCATTTCTTTATAAAACATGCAATTCAAAAATTCCTAAGTCTCTAACTTTGTACTGATTATAGAATGTTTTATATGTAATATTTTAAAATATAATTTCTTTCATATGTATAAGAAACACAGCCAGGCACTAACGCACAGGTCTGAAATCCCAGTGACTCAGGAGGCTAAGGCAGGAGTAGAGCAAGTTGGAGGCCAGTCTCAGCAACTTAGCAAGACACTCTCTAAGAAAATAACCAGAGGTGGCGGGTGGGGGGATCGGGCTGGCTGGGATGTAGCTCAGTGGTAACTCCCCAGTACCAAAACAGAAAAAAAAAGAAAAAAAGAAATATAATAACTCCAAATCTTCTTTAGAGGTTATTATTAATTTAATAGAAAAAATGGTCTTAAAATACTATTTAAAGAATACTTGTTTATCCCCACATCCTCACCAATACTTATTGTTGTTTGTATTCTTAACAGCTGCCATTCTGACTGGAGTGAGGTGAAATCTTAGAGTAGTTTTGATTTGCACTTCTCTAATTGCTAGAGATGCTGAACATTTTTTTCATATATTTGTTGATTTATTGTATATCTTCTTCTGAGAAGTGTCTGTTCATTTCTTTGGCCCATTTATTGACTGGGTTATTTGGTTTTTGTTGTTGTTGTTGTTGTTGTTTGGTTGGTTTTTGGTGTTTAGCTTTTTGAGTTCTTTATATACCCTAGAGATTAGTGCTCTATCTGATGTGTGAGGGGTAAAAATTTGCTTCCAAGCTGTAAGCTCTCTATTCACCTTACTGATTGTTTCTTTTGCTGAGAAGAAGCTTTTTAGTTTTAATCCAATCCATTTATTGATTTTTGGTTTTAATTCTTGCACTACAGGTGTCTTATTAAGGAAGTTGGGGCCTAATCCAACATGATGGAGATTTGGGCCTTCTTTTTCTTCCATTAGGCACAAGGTCTCTGGTTTAATTCCTAGGTCCTTGATCCACTTTGAGTTGAGTTTTGTGCATGGTGAGAGATAGAGGTTTAATTTTGTTACATGTGGATTTCCAGTTTTCCCAGCACCATTTTTTGAAGAGGCTGTCTTTTCTCCAATGTACGTTTTTGGCGCCTTTGTTTAATACAAGATAACTGTAGTTATGTGGGTTAGTCTTTGTGTTCTCTAATCTGTACCATTGGTCTACAGGTCTATTTTGGTGCCAATACTATGCTGTTTTTGTTACTATTGCTCTGTGGTATAGTTTAAGGTCTGGAATAGTAATGCCACCAGCTTCACTCTTCTTGCTAAGGATTGCTTTGGCTATTCTGGTGGGACTGCACCAACTTGGTACAGCCAATCTGGAAAAGCAGTATGAAGATTCCTTGGAAAACTTGGAATAGAACAACCACTTGACTCAGCTATCCCACTCCTTGGTTTATACCCAAAGGACTTAAAACAGAATACTATAGGGGCAAAGCCATATCAACATTTATAGCAACACAATTCACAATAGCTAAATTGTGGAACCAACCCAGATACCCTTCAGTAGATGAATGGATAGGGAACATTACTCAGCATTAAAAGAGAATAAAATCATGGCATTTACAGGTAAATGGATGGAGTTGAAGAACATAATGCTAAGTAAAGCAAGCCAATCCCCCCAAAACAAAGGCTGAATGTTTTCTTTGATATGAGGATGCTGACTCAAAATGGTGATGGAGGGGATCATAGGAGGAATGGAGGAACTTTAGATAGGGCAAAGGGGAGGGAGGATAAGGGAGGGGGCATGGTGGTAGGAATGATGGTGGAATAAGTTAGACATCATTACCCTAAGTATATGTATGAAGACATGAATCGTATGAAAACACTTTGTGTACAACCAGTGATTTGAAAAATTGTGCTCTATATGTGTAATATGAAATGAATTGGATTCTGCCATCATGTATAACAAATTAGAAAAAATAAATAATTTAATAAAGAAAAAATGCTCATCTATAGATACTGGAATAAAATAATAAAAACTTTCACCAAATATGTACTTTAAATTAGTTATATTTGTAAATAATTCTAGGGAAAAAATCAACTTTTTGACTCCTGTATACTTAATAATAAAATGTTCCTTCATTATATAAAAAAAAACAACCCACACTTGTTTAAACTATTTAAATTAATGTAACTACTAAGGTGTCACTCCTATCCTGCAGGGAAGGCAGCTGATCTAATCTCTACTCTTGATTACAAAATCCAAGCCATTTCCCATTCCTGTACAGCCCTCCCCCAAGCACACCTCATTTTATGTAGTGACACGTGTCTCTTATCACTCTTTCTCTCTTTCATGCTTTGGTTGTCTCTCCTTTTCTGGTTCTCAAGCTTTGCCCTCATTTCTTTTGTTGTGCTTGCCTCTCTGTTTTCCCTTCCCCATCTGCAATTTCATCTGATCCTTGATTGTGCAATCGCTTCTGCAGATCTGAAGGCCAACTGTGTCTCCTCCAGCCTTGACCTTGCTCTCTTAAGCTGCTCAATCTGTTTCCACTTAGATTTTCTCATCTCTGACTGCCATTCTACAGGCACCTCAAAGTCAATTTTCATTCTCTGTTAAACTTGGTTTCCTATAGATTTCTATTTATTTTAAAGAGATAATAATTATTCTAATCATTTAGGCTTCAAAGTTACGGAATCATGTATTTACCCCCCACTTGAACTTGACAATGGTCTGTGTCTTCAGACATTATATTTTAACAAACTGAACTATGTGATCATTTCTTAAAGTTTTCTATGCTTTTTTTGGCTCACATCATTACTAATAGGCAGGTCCTATTTTCTTCATTCTACAAATGTTCATTAGGTGCTGATTATTTTAGACATTATTCTACGAGAATAAGATATAACCTTCCTCTCCAAGAGTTTACAATGAGCCCTGTGCTAGGTCTTGAGTAAGCACAGTAGTTGACTCTGAGAAGGTTTCACATGCACACGTGCATTTCTAAGCCATGCTCATGGAACAGACTGACCTGTGCATGGTGAACAACATGTCCTAAATGCTCTGTGCCAGGAATTTTAGAAGACATTCAGTGATGGCAGGTGTTTATCTTTATAGTGACTTTTATTGATTTAATTCTTGGAACACAAACACCTATAATGGCTCTTTATTTCATGTTTTCTTCCTTGAAGACTTTTCCATATGGAGTGTATTAAGTAAAGGAGATTACTAGTCTCACAAGAAGTAGTGAGATATAAGAGCTATTCCCTCACTGAATACGACTCTACTTTTCCTTATAAAATGTAAGAAGGCTATCTGGAGAAGACATGAGAAATGAAAATGGTCAATACCTATGATGTGTGTGTGTGTTTTATGAGAAAGTCCTTTGAGTTGAATTAGTACTATATGGCTGAAGAATAGTCCTTTCAAAAGGGAAAGAAAAATAAAACATTTCTTTGGAATCAAGTGGGCTTTTCCTGTGTATCTCATTATAGCAGAAGGTGATGCCTTTAGACTCATTAACAATGGGGTTGAAGTTATAATTGGGATGAAAAACATGAGCTCATATGAACTGAAGCGCTGGTTTGTACCCAGGGTAGTACAGTTTGCTGACCTAATCTCACCCCCACAGATCCTGCATGATACCATTTGTGCATCCCTAATGAATATAACTGTCAGGTGGGAAGATCCAGCCTCTTTTTTTGAAATTGCACAGGTCAAATCAGAGTTGGTGTCTGGAAGACAACCTAATATGGGTAGAGGCCTGGATCCTTATGATCTACTTTCGTTTTAGTCTTTGTAAGGATCTTACTCACTTCTTTTAATCACACTATTCCAAGAAACAAATATCATTTTATTAAAAAAGAAGAAGAAAAGTAAATCTACTTCTTACCCTTTAAAAATTCTCTGTAACTTGTTAGAAGAATAAACTGTTTAAAATCAATCATGGAGCAGAACTGTCCTGCAATAAACTAAAATAATGCTTATATTTGTCAATATTTTAAAGTTTTCTTCAGGAAAATAAAATCACAAGTATCTATCAGAATGATAAACACCAAAGTCAAATGAGCAACATTCTTCTTATGCAATTCTAGCCTCATCAGATTATTTTCCAACTATTCTGTGTAACACTCAGAATATCATAGAAAGGGGTGGCTTCCGTCTATCTCTGTTCTTAATGCTGCAAACACTGGGGGCTCTTATAGAAGTTACCTCACCACTCTGGCCTTCTTTCCTTCAATCAAATGAAATTATTATATCACCTACTATCATAGGGTTTCTCTGGCATTAAATAGTTAAAATTACATAAAATATTTGGGACAGTTCCCAGCATGTACAAAGTGTTGTGTAAGTTTTATGTATCTGATGCTCTCCATGCTAGTA